CAAACATCAAGAAGCTTACTACTGGTGACCGGAGCAACGATTTTGAGTCAAACACGAAGGTGGCTCCCTTATTGACAGAGAAAGCGGTTGGTGGGATTTACCTAAGCTCCAGTCTCTATTCTCAAGTGAAGTTCAATCAGATATTATGAAGATTCCTCTAAGAAATCCTCTAGTGAAGGATTCAGTTCTTTGGTCTAGGGTGGAAAACGGAATCTATACTGTTAAATCAGCATATAGAGAGCTTAGGCAGAAGAAGCATCCATGGTTGGAAGGTAATAATGTGGACGCTCAAAGAATGAAAACCTACTGGAAGAAGATTTGGAACCTCCCGGTCCAACCAAAAGTTAAAATTTTCTCTGGAAGATCAGCAGAGATATATTACCTGTGGGAACCAACATTGAGAAGCGCATTGAAGATGCTCCATCGGACTGCCCTCTCTGCGGACTTCCCGAAACCCAACTCCATTGTCTAAGGGATTGTGAGTGGACTCGACGTCTCTGGCAACCTCGTGATGTTTCTGGTATCTTTGGCCAAGGTGAAGGGCTATCGGGGCGTGACTGGTTTCACAAGGTCTTTGAATCCCAATCGGAGGATAGTCTACAAAAATTTTGTGTGATGCTTTGGTTTATCTGGAAAGAGAGATGCAACCACATGTTTAATAACAAGAAACTGGAGGAGGAGGAAATTATACAGAAATCTATTGACTGGATTGCGGATTACCTTCAAGCTCAGGGCACCACAATACCAAAGGGGAAGGCAAAACAGCGGAAACCCGGGGTTGGAGGAAACCACTAGAAGGAATTTACAAGATGAACAGCGATGCAGGGCTTTTGAACCCATCTGGAGTTGGTGTTGGCTGTGTTTTCAGGAATTGGGAAGGGGATTTCTTGGGAGCAGTAGCTGGGAAAGAGAATGGAAATTGCAGACCGATTGAGGCGGAGGCCAAGGCGATCATTGCTGGGCTGAGAGAGGCGAATCGAAGAGGCTGGAGCCCTCTAATCGTGGAATCTGAATGCCTGAATTTGGTGAAGATGCTGGATAAGGAAGGAGAAGATCGAACAGAGTTGGGTATGTGGTGCAAAGAGATCGAAGACTTAGCTGAGGTCAATTCGAGTCTATCCGGCAGAAGAGTCGAGTGGGCTTTCGTGCCAAGAGAATCTAATTTTGTAGCCCATTTTTTGGCCCACTTATCTCCTCAGTGGAACCAGCTTTGTATCTGGACTGAATGTCCACTCAGCTCCATTAGGAGCCTGTTAGCGGCTGACAAAGCCCATGACTCTGGAAGTTAATTTATAATATTAACAGGGCTTTCTATAAAAAAAATAGTCAGTGATGTCAAGAAATTATATTGATCCCCTACTTTTAACTAAAACCCTCTAAATCGCGCATGAATTATATTTGACAAGCAGAAGTACAGAGGACCATTTAGAGAAGAATATGCCCTAATTTAGCTTTTTGTGAGTTGGTGTTGAGTCGCTGTTAATCACTTTTCCTTCCAAACATGACTCGATTAGTAAATGACTACATCATGATGTTTCCTTCTCTCTTTTATCAATCGAGCCACACCACTTTTAGAAATGGAGCCACACCACCAAGCCTGATCAAAAGGGAGAATCCCGACTTTTAGAAGTGTATTTATGCTTAAAAAAATTAAAGCATGGTCAAACACCTCTAAAAGTTTGGTTTTTGAAAAATAGTTTTGTATAACATTAATTTTATCATATTTTCATTTTATTTTAGAAAATATAATTTTATTCATTTACTTCATTTTGAAAATAAAATAAATCAACAAATAATATTATATAATATAAAAGAAATCTAATCATATCCATTTTGACTATTTTTATTTTTCAAAATTTTTATTTTATATTTTATATTAGAAATATTTATATTAATTTTACATGACCTCTTATATTAAAATCACTTTTAATACTTTTTTTTTATGATTAATCAAAAATTTCATAAAGCATGGGCAGCTCAACGAGTGCCTCTCAAACAAAACAGAGGTTTACAGAATAAAAAAAAAAATACAGTCAAAATTTAAAATCAATCAAATCTGATCATGCTAAGGCTTTTCTGAAGGTCCAAGTCAATCTCCGCTCGCCAATTCAAAATTCTTCCCACTTCTCTGCAAAGCACACCTGGGGTTTTAATAGAACGCTCCCCATACAATCTTGCACAGCGCTCCCGCCAGATGAGACTAATAGCAAGACTCCAAACAGCACGACAAGCTACTGCTGTAGAACCCTTTCCTTTCCACTTACTAGCACACCAGCCAACCACCTCTTCCCATGCATTCAGTCCACTATAGGAGCCAGAGATGTCAAACAACTAGTTACAACCGACTGCATATAGGGGCAAGCATAGAAAAGATGGTAACATGTCTCAACCCCCCCCCCCCCCCCCCCCCCCCCCCCCGGACAAAACACACAAAAACCTGAAACCGGTTTTCCCCAGACAAGCAGTTTCTCCTGAGTTCTCAATCTGCCCAGGATAGCTAACCATAGAATGATACCATGCCGAGGAATCACTTCCTTACTCAATACCAGTTCATACCAGACCACAGGGGGATCAGGTAATCTAATGGACTCCCACACCCTTTTCACAGAATAACGAGCCATAGGTTCACCATCCCAAAGAGTGAGTCCCCCCTGAACAGAAACAAAATGCCGAATATCAGATCGACATTTCAGGAAATGCTTCCAACCCCAGGAGCCAGCAGCTCCCTCTTTTAATACTTTTCCGCCAAACACTCAACTGCTTTTTTTAAGTACTTTTCTAAAAACTCAAATCAGAAGCAGCTTCTGCAAAAACTACAACGGAACCAAACTAGCCCAATATGTAAAACCCCCTTTTCACGGTATAATTGAAATGGAACAACATTAGATCAGAAAATCAGGATCTCCAAATGTGAATCGCTCAGACAGACAACAAATGTGTCTCTTCCCGATTTACCGAATTGGGCTTGTTGATAGGAAAGCCCAGGCTCGAGAACCCCAAAAAGTTGTTCACAATCATTACAATCGATGATCTCTCTCTCTCTCTCTATTCTCTAAGTTTATCTTTTCGTATAAGGCAATTGTAATTAGTAATTACTATAAAGGTTTTCAGATATACCTCTCGAATCGTCAATCAAGAACCTTTGTAGAATGGATGAGAATGAAGAGTTGGTTGCACGGTTTCATCTTGAGGAGATACAACGTCTTCCACTCTTATACAGGGTTTCTTTGATGTGGCTACGCCCATGGAGGACGAGACGGTGATTATGTTCAGTTTGAACTTGGGACGGCGGGAGAGGTTATGCATCTTGGCTTGGTGGCAGGGAGTTATTTTGGATTCGTTGTGTGTAATGGTTTCAGAGTGGCTCATTTGGTGGCCATTTTGGCTCTGATCTTGTCACTCCTAATTTTTTCGTTGTTTGACTTTGTTTTTTGTTTGCAGTGTTGACATATTTCCTTGTAAATTTGTAGATCTTTGTTCCTCTCTCGTTTTCAGACCAGATCTAGTGGGGGGAAAGAGAGAAGAGTTTCAAACCAGGTTATATAAAAAAAAATTACTGTACTTAGGGATGGCAATTTGAACCCGCCCCGCCCGGTAATACCCGACCTGACCCGCAATGGGACGGGTATTACCCGACCCTAAGGATGGCAATGGGTCGGGTCGGGGATGGATAGTGCATATCCGTTACCCTACCCAAAGTAGTTCGGGTTTTACCCATGCCCATACCCACATAAGAAACGGGTAGAAAATCCAAACCATGCCCATACCCGTTCTTTCGGGTATCCACGGTTATCCATGGGTAATAGTTTTTCTTTATAACTCCAATCAATATGTTAATATTTACACGTATTCTCACGTTACGTAAGACGAAAAGTACGACAATAATTCACTAGAATGAAGAAAATTAATTAAAACAACACAATTTAATAAGAAAATTATATTTATATGCTAAATATAAAATATGTTAGAGAAAAATATAGATTATTTCTAGACAAAATACATATGCATGTGTATAATCGAGCGGGTTCGGGTTGGATAGTGAGAAAACCATGCCCACCCATTACCCGAAATATTCGGGTTCGGGTTTTACCCGTACCCACTAAAAGTCTTTTGGGTTCGGGTTTTAACCTACTCGATTAGGTCGGATTCGGGCGGATATCCACGGTTACAGATATTTTTTCCATCCCTACCCGACCCGCATTAGCGTGGGGCGGGGCATGGGTATCAACTTCCGATCCGCCCTGCCCCGCCCCATTCTTACCTCGTTCTATGTCAATTTTTTACCGCATCCATTCATAGATCTCCTATTATGACTTTTATTCAACTATTTAGATTTGATCTTTCAACTAAAGAGACTCAATTACTTATTATATCATCACTAGTATTCATTCATCAAGTATTTTCCCCTTCGTTTTATCATAAAAAGTAAAATTGTGCGTGTATTTTTCTCAAATAGCATGTAAGAATAGGTCGACCCGCCCCGCCCCGTTCCCGCGCGGGTATTATCCGCACCAACCCGTACTAGCATGGGGCGGGTCATGGGTATTGAGGTACCCGCCCTGCCCCGACCCATTGCCATCACTAACTGTACTAGTATACACCTTAAACAACCAAGGTTTCATCTAATCTTTATAATATAAGGATTCCTCCATATCTCTATTTCCATGGTTAAGAGTCTGAGCATCAAGTTGCAGCTGGCTTGTTCTAAATTTTTCTTCTTACTGCTTCATAAGTGATAACTACGGCACAACTCTCCATGATAACCATTATTAACAATTGATGTACGCCAGTTAGTGATCAATTAAGTTATGGTTTGGAGAGGCTGTGGCAATTATTGACTGAACTTGAAGAGAAGATGGTGCAAGACTCGTTCATATGTTTTTGATTCATTCATCTGATTTCTGCAAACAAATGTCCCAAGACTAACTATATTCTAGCATTTACAAAATTGCTTTACTTTACTGTACTGTCCATTTCAAAGGACCTCTGAGAAAACATCACTAATGGCTGAGGATATTAAGAATGGAAACTCTGGTTTTCACTTAAAGCTTATAAACACAACCCAATTCCTCCTTAACTTTTTGAATAGTCAACTCAATTCCTTCCAAACCTTTCAACAAATTCTTCAACTGCCCACCAGTAATGTCTTTGTTTGACCTCGAACCCATGATTTCTCCTTCCATCCTCTCTATGCCATTAATCCTGTTGATTCCCTCTTTGCAGGAAACCCTTTTCGAACGCACTAATTTTGAGACCAAAGACCATCTCTGGGTCTTTGGTTTAGAGCAGGCAATCGTTGCCAAGAAAGACTCGAAAGTGTCAAGGCATGCCTCTTCAGGCTGTCTAAGAGCATTAATCATGATGGAATCTTTATCTTGGGAGTTGCTGCAGGTCTTCTTCTGGGAACTCTTAAGGTTTCTCAAACACTTGCACACTTCTTTGCTCAGCTGCTTCTTGACAGCTATATAAGCTTCAACTAATTCACTTCCTCTCTTCCTTCATTCAGGATTTCCTTCATTTGTGAGAAAATATCTCTAGTGTCACCACAAAGATCAAGCAACCTGAGGGATCTGTCGAGGGCCTTATCCATTGAGTTATCATTGGAGATGTCTTGTCAGGTTGCCTGCAGTTAGAGGAAATCATCGATTGATTTGTACAAATCCTTATAACCACTCAAACTAAATGATGAAGATGTTGATTGTAAAGATCTCAGCCTCTCCAATTGAATATCAAAGTATAGTGTAGACTGGTGAGGCCTTGATGGCAAGCTGATGGATCGAACATGGCAAGCAGAAGCCATTTCTTTTTCTGAATTTTCTTCTTGATCTGAATGTTGGGATTGTTGTAGTAGTGAGCAAAGAAGCCAGTTAAAATAAAATGTTTTGAATGAATAAATTTGGTATGGAAGTCGAGTTTTTATATATGGGAAAACGATAGAGTAGTTTTCTCAAAGCTTCCCTTTTGCTGTCTTGTGGTGGGTTTCGCGTAATTGTGCAGTTGATGGGTAACATTGGCAAGAAGGATCTGCTTTTTGCCTCCTTGGATGGCAGAAAGAACCAAGACAATGAATAAACTGTAGACTCTATGCTTGAAACTCAGCATGTGAAATGGGATGGAGCTTCAACCCATTAGGAGCAGTGCTAGAAAGAGGGAGAGAGAAATGAATTAGAAAATTTGTTGAATGGATCATAATTGACAAAATTGTTCCATGTTTCTTCTGTTCAGCATCAAGATCCACCAACAATGATGCTATATTAAATGGCAAGAAATTTCTATTTTATCATCCTATATTCCTATTGTTTAGTTTATCACCATCTCGATGCAATGAACTCACTCATGCAGCAATGGTGTTCGCTCTGAATTCAGACCTCCAAGACTGTCTAGACTATTAGTTTATTCATAGTTGATACACTTCAACAGCTCCAAAAATTATCATGCTGGAGCGGAAGAAAAAAGACTACGACAAGAAACCAATTTCTGTGTTTTTCTAATAGTCGGCCAGCTTTGCTCTATCAAGCAATGATGCTTCTGTCTATAATTCATGGAGCAACCCGATTTGATCCAGCAAAATTTTTAACTCCTGGTGTCAACTTTGTGAATTCAGAGAGCCACCAATTCCACAGGGGCACCAAACTGTAGTTCCTAATATATAAAGAAGACCGAAGTGAGGGTTTGGCTTCAACCAATATCTCATAAACTCAGACTCAAGAGGCATTTCATCAAACAACTTCTCTCCATTTTCAACTAAACCAAACAACAAAATGTCCGCCACCTGTCACATCCGATCCATCAGATTACCCACGGGAACTCATCCGATCCAGCTTGAGAGGTTGAGATCCTTCGGATCCGCATCCACCTTGAATTTCACTACCCAATTGAACATCCTCAGAGAGCTCCATGAATGCGCCGACGACTTGCTCTAATGCCCGCAACCCATAAATCCCTCTCTCGTTCCACGGAGGAATCCCTGATCAACGAATCCCTGAGGTCACTAGAAATCTTCGCCCAGTTGAAGGATTGCGTGAAATCACTTGAATCCTGCTGACAAGGAAAAGTACCAGCTTGACCAGTGAAATCGAAACGTTCGCGAGTTCAACAAAGAGGCTGAGGAAACTCGCCTGCAAAACCTTGCAATCCTCCAGGAAAATAACATCCCCCGCAGTAGATCTCGAGCCGAAAGAATCGATCTTTGGGCTTATGAGAGAAGTCGAATTAGCAAGCTCCAACATGTTCGAGTCCCTTTTGAGCTCAGTTTCTGGTGCAGAATCGAGCGGGTCGAGTGTTGTTTCCAAGTACCAGAAATCCAAACGGGTCCAGGGGAGTGAAATGGGGAAATTGCAATCTGAATTGATGGTGTCGAAGTCAATTTTGAAAGCTCTGAATTCAGTTGAAGAAGTTCAGAAGGTTCTGAAAGGGCTGGAGCCTGGAAGGGATTCAATGGACTTTTCGGGAATCTGAGGAGGAATTGGAGTGCGTTTATAGGAAACTAGTTAAAACCAGAGTTTCTTTCATTAACATTCTGAATCATTAGCTAGCTCCTTCCAGTTCTGTAAATATGTATAGGAACAATTTTGCCAATTGATGTAGAGAAATGATATACTTGTTTCCTGCCCTTAATACATCATTTTGATGAATTTTGTCGATTCCAAATAGGGGTGGGCACGTGGGTGGTTAATCCGCAGATTGATATCGATCCACCCGCAAATAACCCGACCCGCATGCAATGGGTGATTGATGTGGGTGGATTGCGGATTGTTAAATATCCCACCCGCACTTATGTGGGTGGATGGTGGCTGGATTGCGGGTCACCCGTATGACCCGCATCCAATTTTTACATGGAAAAATGTTGTTTCTTATAGTATCGAATATTAATCATATTTTCGAACTTCACTACAGTCTGACCATATACTGCAAAAGGTGGAGAATAAAGAATAGTTTTGAATACTATTATAGTATTATTGGTTATTGTGTTGTGCAATATCCATTGACAATGGATATTGGTATGCAAATGATTGTTAATATCCATTAAATATTGGGATACAAACTATAAATTATTAATTGTATCAAAATCACAAATTATTGATACAATCTTACTAATTTACTATGAACTTATTATAAATGTTAATCAATGTTCTTAATGGCTAGTTGGAAATTGCTTTTGCGGATTAACCCGCCACCCAACCGCACCCATCTGCCACCCACCCAACCCAACCCACATAAATATGTGGGTGGATTGCGGGTCACATATATTCCAACCCGCTAATAAGCGGGTGGATCAATTTTAGACCTAAATTCACCCAACCCGCCCATTGCCCACCCCTAATTCCAAATGCACTCAAATTCAAGAAAAGTGTTAACGGGAAATTATAACAATTTCCCAATACATCCAATCAAATATTCGCTGCAACAACTACTACAAACATCAATATTAAGGACATACCTTTAAGCAGTAGGGAAAGCATGAGAGGTGGGCTAACATGGAAGAGAAAATGGCAAAACATACAACAAACTGCCACGCGACTCATTATCATCCAAATTCCCGGCTACAATGTTCAATGTTCTGCCTAAAAATTCGCACTTCAGGAATCCAAACTCATATGAAAACTGCTTATTGAGATCACTAGTCTCCATAAATGAATACCACATTCCACACCATGGGATCACTGGATGCACAGCTAGGAAGTTGGTTGTGCCAAGGCCAAACCCTATGGCGTCCTTCACTGAACATCATGCCTAAGACACCATTCACCATCTGCGAGTGTGTAAATTATCAGTTGTGCTCCAAAGCTTGTCCTTACCCAGAATGAGCCTTGGCATTGGCTAAAGCCGTTAAAAGGCACCAACAATGCATCTGAAGGAGGAGCAAGGTGGCTTAGAAGAAACATGGCCTTTTTTCAAGGATTGAGAATCAAAGGGTTGCATGGCTCAAGCAACCAATAAACCATCTATTGTACCAAATTAAATTTTCGGGGAAAGCCCTGGGAATAGCACTTTCTTGAAAATGTGCCACTAGAAATCATCTCAGCTAGAAGATCTTCATTCTCAGCTCCATACTCCTGCTGAAGCCCTAAGAAATCATCCTAACCTACTACAACTAACTTTATCATTAAAAGACATCAAGCTGCAGCCCTAATAGACGGTGGAAGGGTACGCCACTGCTTGCTGAGCAGGTTGCAAAAAAATATAGGCAAGGACCGGTTCTGCTAGAGCACAAGAGCAAGCCATTGGAAGATCACTAAACCACAAACGAGCCATTATCACCCGAATCAGGTAGGAACACAAATTCAATATTAAGTCAGAACCATCAACGATGTTGCTGCAAATGGGAGTTGCGACAAGAAGATGTTCAATGGAAATACACTGCCCTTAGATAAGTTGTTGGCTGCTCACTGGAGGTTTCTTTTGTCTTCACCCTCTGGCGAATGAACCATGTTTTGAGGTGTTTAATGTCTCAAATACGGGAGAGCCATAGCTTGCAAATAGACATGCTAGGAAATATTTCTCTCAAAGGAATTCGTACTAGAACCTCTTTTAGTAAATGCTTGAGATGCAAGTATGTCATTGATAAATAGCACTGATGATGATTGAGCCCCAGGCATGGCAGGTTTCAGTTAGTTCTTCGGTTGGAAAATTCAAACCCAACCCACTTTAGTATTCAACATATAAATGCCATTTACGGCCAAAAGGCACCAGAATTCACTAATTATCAAGTCAAAATTATCTAGAATTCAGCTCAGGAACAAGAAATCCTAACGGTGCAAAAATAACTAACAACAATTACTCATCCAAAAAATTGCATAATGTGGAGTGGAGCAAATCGGCTACTGAGCTTCAACGGAAGAAACATACTCACTTCAATCTAGAAGACACGTTCGTGTCTTTCGAATCTCAGTGCTTTAAATCGGTGGAGATTTTCAGCTTTTCTCTGCAGCCGGGAAATCTTCTTCTCTTCACACCTCTCCTTCTCCCTTTTCAATTTTCTATTGTAGCTCCATATTTCTCTAGTGTTTTTGCGGTTAACGTTAGCTCGTAAGTTTTTTTGTATTACTTTTTATTGTGATTTGTGATTTTTATGATATTAGTTGAACTACTGTTTTTTTTTTTTTTTTTTGCAGATGGCATTCCAAAAGTTGACGCTTGGGTTACGGTGGAATGGTTACACAGAAGAGAGCGGAAAGGGGGTCACCAACGTCGTACCAGACCGATGCTTGAAGACCTCTATCAAATGTGTACTAATGGTACTTGCATGGATGGCACGAGAAGAGTTGATCGTACGGTGTACCGATATCCAAACAGAGAAGGCAGGTCGTTGTGGCACGAGGAATATCTCATAACCACTCAGGATGAGGTAGATGCCATGCTCAAATTCTTGAGGTCCAACAAAATTTCCAAAGCCGAGATGTTCGTTTACACCGAGCCGGTCGTAGGTGTTGGAGGTCATTCTGGAGACTGTCAAACATCTGGTATCCATGGTGGATGTGATGAGTATGGAGATCATCCCTACCAAAGTTACCATGATCCTCATTCCTATTTTCAGTACCAAGAGCAAGGTGAAGGTCATCATCAATCTTACCCGTCATATGAAGAAGAAGTTCAACCGGTCCATGCCAACCAACCCCAGTAAAACTTCCACTCAGGCAGTGGTAGTTTTCACAACTACCATTATGGAGCTGATGAAGGTGCCTTTCATGAGCTGGATCAGATGGAAGATGCCCTGCCAGCACCAGTCAGTTACCCCTCTGATAAAGGAGAGAACAATGTCAGTGCAGACAGCTCCGACCCTCTTGAAGGTGCTGATGATTCAGGACCAGAGTCAAACTCAGATAATGATGATGAGGTGGCTCATGACCGTGTACCAATTCCCTACTACAATCACAATCCAGACGGCAATTGGATGGTCGACAGCGACATGGAACCACCGGAGGTTCCAATATGAGGTCCACTCACTGGTTTTATGAAGGGCCAACAATTTGGCTCGAAGAAGGAGGTGTGGCACGCCATTGATACTCAAGCAATGACTCGGCATTTTGAATGGCACACAACTCATTGCAACACGAAAAGGCTCATAGTCAGATATTGTAATCATAACGAGGGATGCAATGTTAGGATCCGGGCCATCAACAGCAAGAGACACAGCCATTGGGTCATATCCCATGCGGTTAACACACACACATGTGTGTCATCCATAACATCCCAAGACCATCGGCAGTTGAAATCCAGGGTGGTTGCTGCGGCTATCAAGCATCTAATTGAGCAAGATCCTGACCTGAAGGTGGAAGTCATAATCGCTGACATTGCAAGTCGTTATGGTTATATGATCAACTACAAAAGGGCGTGGCATTGAAAGTAGAAAGCTCTGGCCGCGGTATATGGTGATTGGGAAGAATCATATGCATTCCTTACCAGGTTGATTTTGGCACTGGAGGCGTCTAACCCTGGCACTGTTTTCTCCCCTCGATACCAAGATGAAGAGGTACAACCGCCAGAGCCAGGTAACAGACGCCATTTCAGACGACTTTTTTGGGCATTCAGGCCATCTATTGATGGTTTTGGCTTCTGTATCCCTGTGATCCAAGTGGATGGTACATTCCTTATCGGCAAGTACAAGGGCACTCTACTGATTGCCATTGGGGTGGATGCAAACAAACAAGTCTTTCTGTTAGCCTTCACCATTGTTGAGGGAGAGAATACTGATAGATATGGATGGTTTTCCGTCAAATTCAGCTCCACGTCACTAGGAGGACGAACCTGACAATAATCTCTGATCGGCACGCCGGAATTAAAGCTGCCATCTTAGGTTTGGATCCAGCCTGGAAGTGGTCTCAAAGGTGGTGCATACGACACTTTAAGAGCAACTGGAACCATCATTTCAATCGGAAGAAGCTTGCTGATAATTTGTGGTGGATTGGTAAGCTCTCTATTGGTTGTTTAATTTTGGAGAAGAACAATATCTTATATCAAATAAATGGTACACTTGTTAGACTCTTTATAAAGAATTGCACGTCTAAGGAAATGGGGTTTTAAGCGATTATCATGATCCTCCCATTTCTTGGGAAAATCGGGTATTAAGAGATCCTCGGATCCCCCCTTTTCTGTCAAAAAGGTTGCGTTTCTAAGGAGATGTAAACCTCTCCTAAGAGTCTAACGAGAGTACCTGATAGTTGTTTGAATTGTAATAAATTGCCGAATTATTACTAACGTATTACTTAATTGTGAATACCTCAGTTGTTGCATACCAGGAGAAAAAATTCCAGGAGAAGTTGCAGAAGATGCGCGAGTTATGCCCTGAAGGGGCACAGTGGCTGGATGGACACGACCTATCCATGTGGACATTTCATAAAGACGGAGGTACAAGATGGGGTATGGCCACAACGAACTCATCAAAGAGTATCAATTCTGCCTACAAGGGTATTCAAGCGCTGCCAATCTCTGGCATTGTGGAGATGACTTTCTGGAAAATGAATGGATGGTTCGACAATCGACTACACTGTGCAAGGAAGAACGAGGCACAGGGAAAGTTCCATGCCAATA